ATTTTAAAATTTTCACTGTTAAAAAAATAACATTATGGTCCATTGCTTTTTTTTTTCTTTTGTAAAACTTGCTTACAAAAATATTTTTCCTTTTTGTAAAAAGTAAGCTTCCTAAAAAATTTTCAAACTTAAAGAGAGAAAAATTTTCATATAAACAATTGTAGAATGAAGGTGCAAATCGTCCTTAATTACTTGAGTTGAAGCAAATTGGCATACAAAAAAGTTGAAACAAATCAGCACATCAAAATTTCATTCTAAAAAATTGGTCCAAATTTAATAGTTAACTTCAACACAATTATTTTTCTGTAAAACTATTCCACTTGGGTTTAACGGAAAGTTAATGTCAACTATTAAATTTTGACTGATTTCTCTAACATGAAATTTTGGGGCGGCAATTTGTTTCAACTTTTTAATTAGTGCTACTTTTCTTCAACTTGAAAATATAGGAGATGATTTGCACATTTGGCCTATAAACAAACCCTAAAAAAGGCTATGCCAATCAGTGCCTATAATGTTCTTGGCTACATGCACTTCTCTTCAATCCCTTGTAACATATGGAAGTGTTGTAGTCCTTTTCTCAAGCCTTTATCAATTTTATATGTTTTGTCATTTTGGTTTTTATAGTCAGGGTGTCTTTAGGCCTATTTTTGCATACCTTGATACTAATTCCTTTTTGATCGATTTTAAGGGCGCATTTCCCATATCAAGCTTGTGCATTCTAGGAAATTAATTTTTTTGGATGTTGACTTTAAAATTTGAACCCTAAACCTAGTATAAATGATGCTTACTTACTAATGAATTCAACCCTCAGGGTTAAAAAAAATGAAACACTACCAAACAGCCCCTAACTAAGTTCAATGACCATGTTATTGCATTTTAAAGTTCCGTGTTCAAAGTATAAACTCTGAAAAGTCTATGATGATCATGAAAAGAACTCTAAAAACTCTATGTCCTTATTTAAATATGAAAATACTTTGTGTACTAAATTATCAAATTGCAACAAAGGCTAGGAGAAGCACGCATCTTCATTACCTCTTTAATGTTTTATGAAACCCTCCATACAAACCGTTTTAAATTAGAAGTAAAATCATGTAATTATTATTTTTTTTCTCAAGCAACATAAATAAAAAAGTTTGTTTGGTAGTTATTTTTCAACTTTTTTATAAACAAATATTTCTCTCACAAAATAATATTATAGAGAGAGAGAGAGAGAGAGAGAGAAATGGTTTTTTTTTTTTAATATTTAAAGTGCTTATACACAAGTTTAAAAAACTAAGTTCACTTTTGAAAAAAAAAAAAAAAATTTGCTGCACTTTTGTACAAGGAATAGGTGTTCCTTTCACTAATTATCTTTTAATAAATTTTAGTTAAAATGAAATAACTAAGAATTGTTTAATTTAACTAATTGGGAATAGTGGATTGGTGATAGCAAATATCCTATAGTTGATACTATAGTTGATACTCCCTGTTTATAGAGCTATTGGTGCTCCCTTCACAGTGGATGACATTAGAAATCTCAAGTTTGAGAGCCCACCTCCAACAATTGTGCTTGTTTAAAATCCAAACATTATTAACAGTTATATATTGACTATCAATTATTAGTTATAGGCTGTTGGTAATGGTAAACTAAACAGAGTATAAGACTTGAGAAAAATTGTCATTAGCTATTACCAACTGATTTCATCTTATTAGAAGTCATTGATGTAAGTAGGGAATACATATTGCTTGTATATATATAATGATCTACTTACAATTTAACTGATTATTCCTTTGATCAATAAATTAGTAGATTCCTTGACCAAATGAGTTTTTAAGTTTTTTAATCAATATTTATAGGTAAATAATTAGGGTGTGTTTGGTTTGGTTGAATCTATCAACCTAGAACTTTTTTTTTTTAATTAAACAATCAATTCGGGTGCTTGGAAATGTCAACTTAGGTTGATTTAAAATTAAAATTAGTTTTTTTTTTTTTACCACCTCTCAACAACAACTATCAACTTCCTACCTGCTAAACCAAAAACAAAGCTTTAATTTTCACTCTCCTAGGTAGATATAGCTGGATTAGAATGTGGTTCATGTGATCCATTGCTTTAGATCTCATTCTATATCTATTATAATTCAACTTATAATTGTTCTTAATATATATACCTAATAACATGCAGAAAAAACAGTACTAGGCAAGAAGAAACAACACTGAACTATAAGCTCAGTGCTCGTATTACTCATGTCTACGGACCTTCATTAAATGGCTTGGCTATATACAATTTATATAACCATTTAGAGACACTCTAATGGAAGTTTCAAAGTTTAAATTAAGAATATCATCAGTAAACTTATAAAACTACAATAAGTGACATTAAGATCACATTCTCCTGTGTGATCCCTGCCGCGGAGACTTTGTAATTTAGGTTTGTCACCTAGATTAATAAAAGAGTATCAGTTTCTTCTGGCTATTTCAAATACAAAGATATTGTCTCTGTTGGGAAAGGGGGAAAAAGAACTCAAGTCTGGTTTGAGTTTGATTAGAAACCAAACTCGAGATCGACTGAATCTATGTTCGTTTGGTGCCCTATGAATCAAAACCTAAAGATAATTAATATCTGCACTGCATGCATGCTGCTCCACCTCATGTAGGTGTGATGCAGCTTAAATCAACAACCAAAAATCCATTTTCTAGATAAATTAAGGATGAAAACACAAATAATTATAAGAAAGGAAGGAGAGAAATAAAAGTATAAAATAAAAGAAGAAACAATTACTCTGAGAAATAAAAAAACAAATTGATTAATTAAAAACTCATAGTTATTCCAAGCATAAATATATAAACTTAATCATCAATTAAAATTATATACAGCATTTTCTGAGGAATTAGAGAATCTGACCTAGTGCTGGCATAATCATAGAGCTTGCCGGTGCTAGACAAGATGATCAATCCAACTTCGGCATCACAGAGAATCGACAACTCCCTTGCCTTCTTCAGTAATCCACTTCTCCTCTTGGAGAAAGTCACCTGCCTGCTTGTTGAATTGTCGATTCTCTGGATCGCAATCTTCCCTCTTCCCATCCTCTTCTGCAACAATATATATCCTAGGGTTAATTAAATTAAGGGAAATTAGTTTCCTTGCTCTCTCAATTTCTCCTAGGTCGGGAAATTACAAGCCAAAATGAGTTCAGAAACCTCAACACAAATCAATGTCTGATGACAGAAGATACACCCAAATTAACTAGAAACGAATTAAGAGGTTAATTTTCAGCCAAAATAGATAATTTAAATTCAAATATTTGAAGAAAGAGAAAAGACACAAGAAGAGAAATATCATGGAAAAAAATCTTACTTGTTTTAAGCTAAGCAAATTATAGAAGTCAGAGAGAGAAAAAGGGAGAGACGGTTTTCCTTTCACAGACTGCAGAAAATGTTTATATGGAAAGCTTAAAGCGGTTTTCCAAGACGGGAAAAACCACTCACTAAGGACAAAACATGGAGCCAAAAACCACTTATGGTGGTTTCATTGTTTAAATACCGAAAAAGGCATTGCATATGTTGTTCCCTACCCTACTCTAGAGAGTAGGCAAGTGATTCTGTTACTCGCTTTGCATTTTGCGAAAAAAAGATTGCAACGACAGTCGTCAGGTAGAGAGAGCGAGTACCAAAATTCGATACTCGATTGAGTTTGGGAAACCATCCTAAAGTTGTCATAAATAAAACCCCAGGAACATGGGGAAGGTCTCCAAGAAGTAAAAGCATGGTAAATTAAGGATTTACGCATAGATCATCAGTGACGTGATGTTGGGCAATGCATGTCTCTCTACTTGCAACGAATTTTTGTTTATCATTGCTTCTATACTTTAAAATTGTTGATGATTCAAAAAACAAATTGTTTGTTACTGTCTTTGTACTCGTTTAGAATGATTGTTGGGGTCGTGTATTCATTCCTTAAATGTTAATTCATGTGGTCCTTAATTTGACATCATTAATGACGGTATTAGTTAATGACGGCATAGTTAATGCTACACAATTTCACCATGAAGCTTGAAAAACTAGTAGTATTTTTTATCGAACAAAATTAAGTGAAGTTTTGAATTTCTTACAACTTTTCAGGGCATGACATTGTCAACTACTACCAGTGAGTTTAATGCCTCCCATTTGCCTTTTCAATTTTCTATTCTTCCTCCCTTTTACTTAAAAGAATTTATTTAATTTATACCTTAATGAGACATGTTTAAAATATATTAATTACATCATTTTTCTATTAATTTGTATATAAAATTACAAAAACTAACTTTATTTTTAACACTAATAGCATGTGTGGTTTTAATTTAGTAGTTTATAAAATTGATGTCAATTTTCATTGTTTATAATAATTAGTAAGAAAAATATGTAATTAATACATTCTTAACATATATCCTAAAAAGTATAAAAATCAAAATTCCTACTTAAAAATATAGTAAATAATTACTTATTTTAGACAAAAACAAAAGAGTAAAATTTCATTTACACAAGTTTTATATATTATATTTATATAAAATTTTAATTATTCATCTTTTTATTTTTATTGGTTTATATTTATTTATATTTATTAAAAATAATTATTTTTTCACTTAAAGATTTATGATAAATTTTAACTATTTAAAGTAGAAAGATAAATTATTAAAATTTTATATAGGTGTAGGTTGTAAAATTTATATGTGAATGAATTTTTTAAAATAATAAAAGAAAAAGGGCCAAAGCCATGGGATCAGATTGCAATTAAAGCAAAGAATATAGAGAACGACGAGTTAGTAGACTCTCTACTCGAGCAAGTGGTGAAAGCGTAACCTCGGAGTCTCAAAAAGTCCCAGTAATCGTGGGCAGCATCTAAGTAGTGGAAGGACAGCGTGTATTAACGTATGGATCATCAACACGTGTCGTTAGGCATTTGTATTAATTTATTTTGGGGAATTGCCTTTTTCTGATTGGTTGGGAGAGCGAACTAAGGTAGCCATTGTATTATTGACATCTAGATTTTTTTTCCTTCTTGTACGATGGAGGTTTATATGCTTGGTATATATAATTTAAATTTTAAATTTTAATTTTAAATTAGTTTTTAAATTAATAAAAACGAATTTATATGAAACTCTTATTGGTAATGGTTGAATCCATTTTACTTTTGAGGGTTGAACTTCTTTGGTTTGCCCCTTAATTTGCCATCTTATAACAAACTTATATAGGTGCATAAATGATGTTTTGAAACTTTAAACTTGAAATTATATAGCTAGAAGTACAGATTACTTATTAACTTCAATCGATTCAATAATGTGTAGAACTTGAATCCACTTTTTAATCTATATTGAATTTTGAAATTTGTGTTATTTGATTTAACATAAAATTCAAAATAGTTGGATTTACTATGATAAAGTAAAGTAGAAAGGATAAAAAAACCTTCTAGTTTGTAATAATTAATGATATTTCGCTTTATTACTTGTGGGATTATAATGAAAAGATTTCGCACGTAATTTGATGTGTTACTGATAAAAAATAAGATGGTTAAGTGAGGGTTACATTTGTAAATTTACACTTTTATTTTATTTTTCAAAAGCTTTTCCTTGCTTCTATTTTAAATATATTAACTTTGGTACTAATTATAAGATGCCTAGATAGTTTTTTAATCATAACTTGGGTGCTTAACTAGGTAAAATAGTTAGATGTGTAATCAGGTGCGTAATCGGATCTTTATTTTTTTCCATTCAAGTGATTAAAAATGAAAAGATTGTGTTAGTCGTCAAAGAGGAATATATTACTCTCCTTGATTCTTTTGTGTTCTTGTTAGAAGACTCAATCTAATTAAATCTTTAATACAGCCATTAAAGTTCTCTCAAACTCAACTAATGGTCAGTGGTTGCGATATCCATATTTAACAGAATAAATTATGAATCCAAAAAACAAAGAAAGCACGAAATAAGGTATTACAACTCATTCCTTGGGGACTGTTCAATGAACTTCAATTTTCAATTTCAGATCTTTTTAAAAGCCAAACTGTTATAGTATCCTCTAACTTCAAAACTTTAACTCTTGACTCTATGATTAAGATTAGGTATTTAAACTGAATTTCTATGGTCTCAAGGCTAAACAACTATTTAACTCGCTGATAAAAGAAATTTGATTTTTTTTTTTTTTTGGTTGGATTTCAGTGTTAATGGTACATCACAACTAAGTTCAAGGTGGTTTTGCCCATAGTGGTAATTATTTAAGTTGAAGAAAAAAAATTTAGCGTACAAAAAAGTCCAAAAATGGAGAGTTTTTTGTTTCGATTTCAATAAGGTTTCCCAACATAGGTTAATGTGGCAGGCATGCTCAAGACAAAAGTCCGCCTCTTACTCTTTCTTGCTCAAATCATAGCTTTAGTTTGGTTGGGAGTTGCAATTATCAATCATCAACCCCATACCATACGAAGCTTCAAAGAAAAAGGAAAAAACTGCAAGAGACGGAAACAAATTTCATTAACTAGTAGTACTTTCTAGTTTCCACATTTATCAATTACTAGTCAAACAAGTAAAAGAAGATTTAATTTTGAACTTACATTCTCATCATAAAAAATTAAATGCCAACTTGCCATTAAAGTCACTTAAGACGTTAATTTACTTGTAATACTTTCCTATAATAAAAATTTACAATCGCCATGTCGTATTTGATTCAAAATTTGTTTCAAATTTATAATCGTGTTTTCATATTTTAAGAAAAATAAATATTAACCTAAGAAGTTTATAAGAAAAAAAATATCTTGATCTAAGATCAGGCTATGTTATCATTAGTTTGGTAGGAATTTACAGCAGCACTTAACACTTTGTCTATCCATTTGGTTTTGTTTAATGCAAGACTCAAACTTAGGATCGGTTAGTTGAGTTCCAGCCTTCGTGAATTTCGTAGAATGTGATAAAACCAGAAAATATCCACATATATTATGTGTGTTTCTAACTTCTTTTCCAAGTTGTTAATTGATTAAATTCATATTCTCTTTGCCCTTAGGAAAAAGAAAAGTATTCTCTTTTCCTTTTTAGATGTATTAGATAACAATAAGTTTTTTGGCCATTAGATAACAATAAAAATAGACAGTGGAATTTATTGCAAATTTGGGAAGGTTTAATTCCACTTACATCCTCTTTTTTGAAAATATTCCTAAAAACAAGTCAGAATTCGATGATGAAAAAACTTCCCGAGTTACCAATAAAAGGATTAATGTAAGAGAAATTCCAATTACGTGGATTTAGTGGGCTAATAATTGAGATGCGTATCGTTGAGATATTAAACTGAGTTTAAAATATAGTATATATATTCAAATATAAAGACGTAGATAATAGAGAGAGATAATTGAGTATGAAAGCCAACTAGAGTTATGCTAAATTGATAGTTAATATTCATTAATTTAAATTTTTTTATTTGAGATCATAATTTCAAAAGAAATTATTTTTTAAAGTGATTAAGCGTATGCAGGTGTCCGGCTGTAGCTTTTCAAGTATATATTTTCATGCCACAAAAATTATAGTATTATTTGATAATTATTGTGAAAAAAGTATTATACATAAATATGATTATTAAATTATATAAAAAATCCATTAAAATTAATTTAATTTTAATAAATTAACATTGAAATGCTGTGTGAAAAATTGTTGTAAGACGGTAATTTTAAAAACAACCTAAGTAAGTTTTGAACTAATAAGCTTCTAGCCAAATTCAAAATTTTCCTTAATTTGTAGAGCAAGTTTGCTTAAAAACAAACTTGCTTCTGCCAAACGACCCCTAACTTTAACTGACTTGATCGATGTTATGCAATGTTCTTCTGTCATAGTACTTTTTCCTTTTTTGCTGAAAATCGGCAAATGTAAAGGCAGAAGCTTTCTTCTTCCTTCTCCCTTTTTTAAGGTTTTTTTTTTATTTTTTATTTTTTATTTTTTATTTTTAACATTTGCAGAATCTTTCTCCTTTCTCTCCAGCACGTGTGAGACACAATTATCGGAGCAGCCGCGGCGCCCCCACCATCTGCTGCAGTCCCACGCCTTCCATCGAGCTCAGCCCCCACC